TCAGGATGAGTTAGGTGTGTTTCCAGATATCGTAGGAGAGATCTTGGAATAATCTTTCCAACGCCGCTGCGTTTGTGCGATTCTGAGTTCGTATGAGTGAGTTCTGCCCATTGGAAGTTGGGCTGTTCAAATAAGGAAAGTCCAATCCGGATTTTTAGAAGGGCATTATGCTCTTTTCACCACCCAATTAAGTTAATTCGTTTTTAGCAATTAAATTGGGGTCTAAACTGAATTGGTTCAGTTTAGACAATTGGAAATTTACGCTAGGCTTTTTGAAGAAAGAACGCAAGAGGAGAAAAGAGGAAAAAGAGCAAAGTTCGTCATTCTTGAAGGTTTAGCTTGTGAATTTCGACAAGGGTTGATGTGAACAATAGTGTATGCTATTAGGCTAATTGGGCCTAATTAAGTTGTTATTAATTAGCTAGGTCAGTTAGAGTTAGTTAGACTTTGTTAAAGTCAGTTAGAGGGTCTGGTTATCACTATAAAATACATGTGTATGAGGAATGCGCAGTTTAGATGTAATTGTTGATAATGAGAAATTTTCCCAGTTCTTCTCTCCCAAGTATCTCTTTGCATCTCCTTTAATCTCTCTATCTAAATTGATGAATTCTCTGCAAGTTATCATGGTATCAGAGCTTGAGTGTTCGATTTAGCAGAGATTCTGATTCATTTATCTCATCTGGTGATCATTTCAATGGCAGTTGATGATCAATCCTTTGTTGATTTAGCTCCGACAGCGAATCACGCTCTCGAAATTGATCATAATCATCCATTGTTTCTTCAACCCTGTGATACCCTAGAGAGTTCTCTAGTCTCGATTCAGCTCACTAGTCCAGAGAATTACGCCATTTGGAGTAGATCGATGCATCTAGGACTGCTGGGTAAGAGCAAACTTGGTTTTGTGGATGGGAAACATCCTCGTGAATTTTTTCCTTCGTCTCTACATGATCTATGGGAGAAGTGTAATGCAATTGTCCTCTCCTGGATCATCAATTCCATCCGAAAGGATTTGTTAAGCAGCGTAATTTATGCTTCGAATGCCTCGAAAGTGTGGACGGATTTGAGGGAACACTTTGATAAGGTAGATGGATCTAGGATTCATTATCTTCACAAGGAGATTCATACAATGACCCAATGTACTTCCACTGTATCCAGCTACTACTCTAGACTATGTGAATGTTGGGATGAGTTTGATGCAATTATGTCATGCCCAGGGTGTAACTGTCCAGAGTCCAGAACCTATGCTCATCACTTCGATTACCAGAGATTGCTTCAATTTTTGACCGGCCTTAATGATTCATATGCTTCTAATCGTAGTCAGATCCTCATGATGACTCCAACACCCTCAATTAATCAGGCTTACTCTATGTTGATTTCAGAAGAGGGTCAAAGGTCATATGGGAAATCAGTGCAACAGGCTGGTGTGAATGAAGGTGTTGCTTTCTACAGCAATAACAAGTCACTACAAGAAATGCTGGATCTAGTTCAACTGGTGGTTCTATTTCTGGCTCAAATAACTCTATTGGATCTGACTCTAGCTTTAAACCTAAAAAGAGTAACCAACATTTGTTTTGTGACTACTGTCATCACACTGGTCATACCAATGGTAATTGTTTTCAGCTTCTTGGCTATCCTCCTAATTTCAAGCACAACTCAAAGAAGAAGTTTGGTACTGCGACATCAGGGGGAGGTACTGTACACTATAATTACTTTCCTTACTTGACAGACGAGTCAACCCAACTACGAATAAACTCATCCTGCTCCTCATGTCAGCAACCATCTCTTTATTTCTCTTAGCTCACGAGGAAAGAAACGCCTCATGAAGGAACTCTCGACCATAGGCCAGCACAAAATTGATTACGTGTAAGCACGAGTTAGAAAGAAACTTTTATAAAGATACACTTTATCGCACGAAGTGAGTATGAAAGAAGTGAATGACTTCCTAAATGTTGCATCCTCTTAATTATAGATGTGGCGTACTTCACACCGATAACTAGGACTCTACATATACGACTTCATAGACACCCTAGGACTCTTGAACTCTGGGCTCTGATACTAAGTTTGTCATGCCCCGAGTATACACCCTGGGCGGGACTGGCACTCGAGAACCATTATTGGCCCCAAGCGAACCCTTGGCCTGACTTACTTAATCAACAGAAGACTTTACTCAAGATAAATATACTTTAAAACAAGTAAACTGAACTACTCAAAATATAACTTAGAATGTATTATAATAACATTCACTGCCAAAGTGGCAACTCAAGTCTCAACTTAACTGAAAAGGAAAAGTAAAGACTCGTGAACTAACATTACTAACTCTATCTATGAAGACTCTAAACAACTGAGATGGACGTCTGGACAAGACCCATGATATCCTAATGAACTAAAATACTGAAAGCAATAAAAAGGATCCTACAGAAGGCTAGGAGGCTCACCAACTGACTCTGAGTGCTCAACTGGATCAATGAGGAACTGGATGCTGATCCTGATTACCTGCGTCTACATCATAATAAGATACAGGCCAACTGGCATCAGTACATTGAATGTACGAGTATGCGAGTTGGAATGCTAAACATAACTTAATCTTGAAAAAAAATCTGAAAGAAACACTTACCTTGGCTTTACTCAACTCCTGAATAACTTAACTCAATATAAAGCAATAAAACACATGCAATATATATATAGAAAGATTTTAAAACAGTAGAAAACAACTTAGTTCGTTAAAGAAAATGCAATAACAAACTCAACTTTACTCATATAATAAAGTAATATAGTTTCTGTGGGAGTTTCTCTAACCGACAACCACCACTATGAGCCTAAGTGGTGATACAACGTCTTGCCCACGCTGCCAGAACTGTCCTATACTTTTCTGTCATATAGAACGCTTAACTAAGTGGATCCACTAGTTTATGTTAAAAGCAACTTAAGTAGTCATCTAAAAAGTATGATCCTTTACTACCAATGACAGCTATATGGTTTATGGAAACGTGAGTTATCTGAACTCAAACTCGCCCCCATATCGGTGCTCAATACTACTCCTAAAATATACTTAGCTCATATGTTTGTAAAAATAAAACTCTTTCTTTGGTTTGAGATAATTACTCAAAAACATAGTTTTTTAGCTCTCTTGGAAATCTCAGTTTCCTTTCTTGCTCAAATGTGAAAATATTTTTAACTCTAGGGAATACTTAGTTCCCGTAATATATTTGAAGAATGAACTTTACTCTTACTCTTTATTGAAAAACTAGCTCAAAGGCTCTTTTGGAAATCTCAGTTTCTTTCTTGGTTAAATGTGAAAACATTTACTCTTTGGGAATACATAGTCCTGATATACTCTTTTGAAGAAATGCACTTCAAATGTTACTCTTTACTCAACTCAAAACTCAAGTCTTAAAACAAAGTTAAAACATTTGTTAAAGACTTTTGGAAAACTTTATGAACTTCTCTTAACTTGACTCTTGACTTCTCTTGACTTGACTCTTAACTTCTCTTGACCTGACTCTTGACTTCTCTTGACTTAACTCTTAACTTCTCTTGACTTGACTCTTAACTTTCCTTGAATTTAATTATGGATTCAAGGATTCTGATTTGTGATAGGAAAGATCTCATGATGTTTAGGAATGATTTTAGATAGCTAAACATGAGAAATGATCAAGAAATCACTGCTTGGAAACCAGTCCGCGACGCGTAGGTGTATTTAAATTTTGGTCGCGAAAATAATTTTTCAGGCAGAGAGGTATGTGACCTCTCCGCGACGCGAAGGGAAAGTTACACTTCTGAGGAACAGGTCTGCTACGCGGACCTGGTACCCAGTTTCTGCCTGACTTGTTCCTTTTTCGTTTTCTAACCCCAATTCGCCTAAACTCGGTTCTTTTTCTCAAATTCCCTTTAGATTTAGATACCCAGTATGTATACACAAGAATCTAACTCAAACAACTCAAGGAAACAACATTTTAACCTGAAGGAACTCCTCAATCTCAACCTAACTCAAGAACGAAGGCCAATTTCAAGAACACCATTCAAGATTCATCAACTTTCAACTTTCTAGAACAAACTTCGCTAAAATAAAAATGATTGGCGCGTGGGTGAACGAACCCATTGATATGAAAGACTCACAT